CTCGGCCCCGCGCCCCTCGGCCCCTGCCCCGCCGGTCGGACAGGTAAGGCTTGGCCTTGGCCCGCCCCTGGCTCCGCCCTCCCGCCTCACCTGGCTGCGCGCCGGGACAAAGGTGGGCTACCTGGAGCGCTCAGGGGCGGGGCGCACCGGGGACTGAGGCTGGAGGTGAGGATGCTGCTTTCCTCCCTGCCCTCGGACCCGTCGGTCAGTGGGTCCGCCGCCTCCGCTCCTCGCCGCGTCTCCCCTCGGCTCCTGGCTCTGCTCCTGGGCCCCTCATCCGCCCGCCTTCCGCCGGACACTCACTTTTCCACGTTCTGACACTGCCTAGCGTGCGCCCTTGCCGCCCTCTTCCGGACGCGGCTCTCGCCCGCTCTCCCTTCTCCCTCTGGGACCCGGTCTCTCTTTGTCTCTCTGTCTCTGAGTCTCCCGGTGGTCTCTCGGGCTGGGGACCCCAGTCTGACATCGTTTGAAGAAGCTTGGAAGATTCCCTAAGCTCCGGACAGAGCTGGCAGGAGTGCCCTCTGCTTCTTTCGAGGCTGGGGTGTGTTGCAGGTAGAGGGAGGTTCTGGCTGCACCCGCCGCCAGCACTGCCCAGTCCCTCGCGCTAGCAACCCCGACAGCGCTGGCCTCGCTCTTCTGGCCCCGGCTCAGGCTCCCTCCCTCTCCACTGCTGGCTTTTCTCCAACCGCGCGCCGGGTTCTCAGGCGCCTTCGGGAGCCCGAGGTTTGAGTCGTGAGACCTCTTGGGTTTCCCGCCAAGTCTTGCCTTACTACACTGCGTGCTCCCTCTGCCCTCGTCTCTGTCTGGTCTCTCTTGCATGGAGCCCTCTTCCATGCTGCCCACCTCCCAGCCTGGTGGCATGCAAGAAGTGTCCCAATACTGGTTCAGTACCATCCCTCTGGGGTCAGGCAGACGGAGGCTGAGGGAGTGACCTTGGACAAAGGGACGCACTTCTCTGAGCCTCAGTGCCCCCTTCATAAAACGGGGATAATAATAGCACCTACCTATATGGATATATGTGAAAGCAGTGAAAAAAACATACTGGATGCCAGCGAGGCACACACTCGGTGGCCACGGGGGATTCTACAGTCCCAGTCCCTGGGTGGGGTGGGGATGGGGGGTCCACAGAAAGGGGGAAATGGATCAAAAATTCAGGCTTAGAGACACTGCAGAGAAACCTGACTGTGGCCCCTCCCGTATCATGGTCACCTCCCCCTACACACTGTTACAGGCACTCCTCTCTTTCTCTCCCTCCTCCTCTCTGCTTGTCCTAAAATCGGAGCTTAAAAATCAGAAAGAAAAGGGTGTCTGCTTTCAAAATGAGATCAACGTGGCTGTGCCGATGTTGCCAACAGCTGGTCATTGATCATGAGGCATCCATGTGACTCATTCCCAATCCTGAATCTCTGTCTTGCATCCGTTTCTTTTTTAATGGCTCTCGCTCACGAGCCATTTCCTTTCCTCTGGGCGGGGATTGTCTTTTGGACCCTGCACCTGTTGTGTAATCACCCAAACCCTCTGACCATCATCTGTGTCATCGCGACAGGTGACACACCACCCCAGGAGTCGGGCAGTGATGTGGGCTTAGGGCCATAATGAGGGCAACTTCGGAAGAGCGACATCTTCTCCCGGCTGGGAAGTTCTGGGTTCCCCTAGCTGAGCTTTTTTTCAGCCACAGCCAGAGCTAGCAACTAGCGCCTTTCTCTTTAGAGAGGCAAGAATGGGACTGGAAACACCCAGACAGACACACACACACACAGACACACACACACACACACAGACACACACACACACACACACCATCCAGACTCCTGCTCACAATCCTTTCTGCCACTTTCTCTGCCTCCCTTCCCACCATTCAATTCACCCCGCTCTGCATCCCTAAATCCCTACATAGCTCCCTGTTTCCACTAAATTAACTACGCTGCCTGCCCTCATCACACCCCCGTCGGCATCTTGGGTTTCAGCCATGACTGAGGGCCGATCATGTCCACGCCCTGACTGCCTCCGAGCTTTTGCTAGGGCTCTTCCCTCTAACTAAAATGTCTCCCATTGCAGGCCAAGGTCAGATGGCCCCTCCTGTGGGGAGCCCTCCTGCCCCCACTTGCCTCCCTGTCTCTCCCATGGTCTGCACTTCCCTGGGCGGGACTGGGTCCTGTTCCACTTGGGGTCCCAGTGCCTGAGACACAGCAGGCACACAGCAGCACAGCACGTGCTCTGTCCATATTTGTTCTCATATATGGAATCCTTGGCCAAGGAGATAGGAATGAACTGACAATTGCAAGCCACAGGTTATCCGTGAATTCCACTGGGTCCTGCTGGCCAGGCCAGGGGCAGAGTTGGCCCTAGGGCAGACGGGTGAGGTTGTGGAGTGGGGAGCAAGTCTCCCGGAAAGTCCCTGTGGTACTGGGGGCTCTGCACGCCTCCAGAAGATGAGGATGATTTCTGTGCCTGATGCGAACAGAGGAAATCGGCTAGACAGGGAACCGACTGCCCAAGTTCAGCAGACTAGCTTAGCAGCTATGTGACCTGGACCTTCACTTGCCTCAGCCAGAAATGTGGCAGAGCAGGGGTTTGCATCCTGGCCTCCCTGACTCCACAGCCTGGGAAGAGCACGAGCTGGGCATGTTCCCGGGGTGGGGAGGTGTCATACTAACATCTCTCCACTGGCCCATTCAGGTGCCATCCGCCTCTCTTGCTGCTCCAGGCCCTCTGCTTGTCCTACCCCAGCCCTTCCTCTCACGTGGGCCACCGCAGCCAATGGAACACAGGCCTCCCCAGGAAGGACCCTGCCACTAGAGGCCCTGCCCCCCTCACACCAGTTCCCAGCTTTGGCAGCCTCACACACCACAACACCATGGCCTGGCATTGACCATCTGGGACACATCCTTGAGTGAGTGTAGGGGTACCGGTGCTAGAATCCAGAGCAGTTGGGATAAAGTAATTGCAGACCTCAAGTTTTTAGGGGCCCCCTCTGTGCCAGGCTCTGGGTTAAGGCCCCCACCACGTGTCATCCCTGAAAGTCACAGCGTCAGCACTAGTATTAGTTACTGAGTTAGCATGAGGCGTGGTCGAAGAGTCTGCCTTTGGAATCAGGTGGCCACAGGTTCAAATCCCAGCTCTACCACTCACTCTACTGTGTAACCTTGAGCAAATCCTTCAAATCTTTGTCCCAATGTTGAACCATTGTTACTATTGTTATTACCTGAAAAGTATTGTCCGCTTCAATGGGCTGAATTATAAACTAGATAATACATATAAAGCTCTAAGCCTAGAGTAGTTGATGCCCTATAAATGACACCCAAACAAACATTCATTCTTCAGATGTGGGATTGAAGCCCGGAGAGGTTAATTGACTTGCCCAGGGTCACACAGCTATTAAATGCTGGAGCCAGGATTCACACCCAGGCTTGTCTGACTCCAGGTGTCTTTCTACTCCACACTGACCTCTGCCAGAACCGACAGTGGACATTTTGTCACTCGATGATTAAGTGATGGGTGCAACCAAATTATCTGGGAACCAACATAATGAAATTTGGGGAATAGGGGGCCAGGAGGATGGCTTAGGAGA